CCGGGGGGCCCCAAGTTTGTGAAAAAAAGCCACAACTCATGAAAATGAGCACACGCTCGCATGCACTTCTGTACCCCAACGTGTGTGCATGTCAGACCTTATGCAAGCACACGTGTGCATGCCTCCACCCACTTTCACTCCCGCATGCCCACGCCCACCCCCACTCTATCATACTCGAATGATAAGAAATCTTCCAAATTCAAATGCATCTTCATATAACCTCTAATTTCATCAAATTTATAACCAAATTGAGCTTCTTAGCAAAACGAACCTAACAACTCTAAACTTGTTCAATATGAGTCCAATCAACCCCAGATCAAGCTATTGAAGCACAATTGGAAGCATTGGATTTTAATTGAATTATCAAACAAACTCCAAATTTGACATATTTATAATTGAGTCTAACATCTCAATGAGACGAATCCGACGAGCCTAAGATCGCTCTATTCTAAGGTCATTAATTCACCTAAATCCTTAAAAGATCACATATGATCAAGGTAAATCAACATATATCATCTGATCAAGTGGTTAGGAAAGTTATGTGGCATAAGACTAAAGTGTCCTACCCTCAAAAACTATAATTAGGCCCCTCTCTTCACTTGCAGGGAGGAGAATAATAGAAGGAAAAGTAAAATCCTAGAGCATTTTCTAGAGAGAAAACTCGAAGAGTATCCACTTGCATTCATAGCCACCAGCCACCGTTGACCATGAGTCATTGTCAACAGCTCGAGCTGTCACCACCTGTAGATGCTGACAACCTGTGATCAGTGACCACTATTTGCAGTCGTTGTAGCCAACTATTGTTGTTATTGAATCTTCTAACACTTGTATTTTTTAGCTATATAAAGACAAGTATAGTTTTCGTTGTAAGATTGTGCACTTGTTCTCTCTGTCATGAGAGAAGAGTATGTCTCTACTTTCAAACATATATTGAGTATGTCTCGGTACTTTCAAACATATATTGAATTATTTTAACTGAGCCATACACCAAAATTTTTTTCACATTGAAGATTTTTTCCACACAAATATTATGTTCTCATTTCACTATATTTACTTATTCAAATATGTGGTGTATTTTTACCACATTAAGATGATAAATCACAATTTATCGTCATAAATTTTCTAGCACACAAGCGTTCTAAACTTTTTTTTTATTTTATTTTCAATCTATGTTTTACATATTCAAATACAATGGGTAGAATTTGACTTTAAAAGCATATTCTCACAATAAAAGCTTGAGCAACCTGAATATCGCCACTAAGGGGTTTTTGGTTGACAACATTACCAATGTATTGCATTCAAGAATTTTGGAAATTCAATAACTTGTTCAAAAATAACTGCAATTTAATATAAAATTATTTTGTATTTGAAATTCAGCTCTTAGTTCATCTCTAATGAACTTTGAATTCGATCGAAGGCTTAGGGTTTAGGGTATCGTCTGCATCCTACAGTCACCAGCCACCACCCTCACCCTCACCCCCCACCGCCAGCTACATACGCATTACTTTGACGCTTTGAAATGCACACTAATTTCATTTTACTTCAAACGAAAAATAAATAAATCAAATCTCTCATTTATATCAAACCAAACACCTATAAAATATTGTAAATACAATATATTACTCATATATTATATTCATCTTATATTACATAACCTTTCCAGCAAACCAGATAACCTCTAAAATCAAAATTCGAAACCTCCAACCACGCCCAGATTAACCAAAGTTAACAACATAGCCGCCCCGAATAAATGCAGCGTCACATGGCCCGTCTTTTAGGTCATAAGACGCCTACCCGTGGCCGTCAGTCCTCGTTGACAGAGTCAGCAATGACTTCAAATTCCGCAGCTTTTTATTCCTATTTTTAACTAAATCTGTGAAAGACTTGACTACTAAATTCACAGTTAAAATAAAAATATGTTCTATTGTTTCTGAATTACGTAATAATAATTACTACATCAACTTTGTTGATATTCCTAAATAAACCTTCGTTTATCGTCATGAACATAAAAATTAAATCGAAACATTGACATCTACAGTAACCAGAAGCTATCAACCAATGTTATTGTACATCAAAATCGATTCAAAATGTATTACCTTCTAATTTTCTAGACAAATGATTCGTATTTAAGAACTGGAAGTTTATATTACTAAATTCTCTTGTAAAATGACAACATTAAATGAACCAACAAACCTCCCTCTCTAAAAACAATTTACTGATTATTTTTAATCACTTCACTTGAGAAATACGGCTAAATTACTTCATACTAATGAGTACAATGCTATTTAAAACACATTTCCTTTAAGATGAATTGAAGTAATAAAATGTTTCCACCCCCAAATCTTACTGATTACTCACCATAAAAGCCCAAATTAGTTTTGTTCATCAACCGAATTATTATTTAATTAATAAATATTTTATCAAAAATCATGATTCTCTTCGTAAATTCACAGAAGAAAAACTAAGAATAAAACCGTGCTGAAAGATTAAAACTTAGTTTACGAAGCACCGAGACACCCAAGAAGAGAAAATATTTGCATTGCGTCCGTCGGGAGGTTATTCAGCAGGTATAGGGGGTTATACCCGTTTTACACCCTCTGTAACCTCCTTGTAACCTACAAATAAATTTTGCGCTTCTATAATTTCGATAAGTATAGATAAATTACAAGAAAGTTACAGGAGATACAATGCGGATATAAAATCCCTATAACCTCTGAATAACCTCTGACATAGGTGGCGTAGCGTAATTCTTACCTACACAAATATTTTCCCAATAAGAGGACTCAAAAGTAATTAGATTACCAACAAACACAAATTTTCAATATAAAAACCCTAATCCACTCTTTCAAAACCCAACCACAAGATTAAAATAGGATTACATCACTAATATTTCACATAATTAAGAAAGCTAAAAGCGCAAATATTTTAGTCCACATATCCTCTTATTACCCACTTTCAAGAACTAAACCGTAGCTTTGCGGACGAAGTAGCGATAAGCCGCTACCTTCCGCCGCCTCGAACCAGTGTTGTCGATCGATAGAACCATCTTGCCGGCATCCCTTGCCGCAAACACGTTATGAACCGCTTCCTCCGCCGCCGGAATCCGCCGTGCTTTCTCTACAGCAATCGTGTAGCCGCCCTCCGTACTCGGCACATACTCCGCTGCATAGCCCACATCCCATCCCCCCACAACTATATCCCACGTTATAGTCGCTCCAGCCTTCAAAACAACAAGAAAGAAGCCGAGCATTTCATCCAACAGCTTGCTTTCAGTTTGGAAATGAAGGGATGGCGATAGAGTTGCAGAAAGTTTACCTCAATGCCGTCTATTTCCAGGTTTACCTTTTCACCGCCTTTAATGGTGAACTCGGACGCCGGCTTCGGCGGTCCGTTCTCCAGATCGCCAGGTCGGCTTAAGCCTCCATACTGAACAGGAACGAACTCTGGCCTGATGAACCTGCATGTATATCACATGAAAGAAGGATAAAAATCAAAATCTTATAAGAGAAAAATAGAAGAAACAAAAACATAGGAATGGTTACTTGTAGAGGGTTTCTGCCACATTGCCTCCTTTGGCGATGACGAACTTGCTCTTAGTCCTCTCAGTGAGAAAAGGACTAACCATGGAGTACAGAATACTAAAATACCACGGCACGTTTATGAAAACCTGCGCCGATCAGAAATCGCCATTACCCCACCAATGAAAAGATCCAAAGGCTCTATTCTGCAAACATTTTAACAGAGAAGGCACAAATCTAACCTTGCGAGCGACCATTTCAGGGTAGTTGTCCTGAAATAAAGAGAGGATCTGGTTGGAAGCGACGCGAAGCTCGCGCTTAGGCATGTCTTTTAGGTCGGTGACCTGAATAATGGAGTTGATGCCGCCAGGCTTGAGCTGGAGAAGGCGAACACCGCGCTCCATGACCTGAACGCGCCATCGGAGGAAGCGCTTGAGCTTTTCTTCGTCGCCGAAGATGCGATCGTACATTTCCCTGTCTTTGAAAACCCCGTAGGCATTGTAGCACACGGGATGGCCGGCGCGGTCCCAGCCGTGCATGTACGCGACCACGCCTTCGAGCTCTTTGAAGCCAAGCTCTTCATCCACCACCTCATCCGCTCCAAACTCCGATCTCCACTCGGCGCATCGCTGCAGCATTGCATGCGCCTGCGCAACACCGAAGTCCCGCGCTCGTAAGAATTTGAGCAAGACCACGTCTGCGCTCTCACCACCATCAAGCAAAGGGATTCCCCACATAGTCGGCGGGGCCGACGCCGACGATGAGGATGATGACAGAAATTTCTTAAAATCTTCGAGGGCTTTGAGCTCGGCGGGTTTGAGTTGGGAAGTGAGGTAGGAGTCTTCTTTGAAGGATGATGAGCGGCCGAGGGTCGTGCTCGCTGCCTCCTTCAGCGAGCTCATCAGGCTCCTCCTTGTCGGCCTCTGCACCGCTGGAGATTGCTCCATTGTTTTCGAGAGGAAGGGAGAGAGAGAAAGAGTGGTGAAAGGACAAGGAGAAGGAGAGCGCAGGTTCCGGTGGTTGTGGGGAACGGAAGGCGAGAAGTAAACGTTTGATGAGCTTATATTGTACTTTTGGGCTTTTATGTGGGTGCACCATCCCAACCGTCGAAGTTCGAAATGGGAGGATGAAGGAACAGTTTAATATCGTTCTTTGCTTCGGTTGTCTCGCGGGACCACTGGCAGCGGGCAGGTGTTAGATAGTGGTGGGTCCCATACGGGGGGCATCGAGCTAAGATAAAGAAAGAGCCGTCCTCGTTTAAATTTCGAACGAGATTAGAAAAGGAGAGCAACCGGCGGTTCCGGCGTCAAGCTTCTTGCGGTGAATTTGAATTAGCACGGGTGTCAAATTAATTATATATGAATGTACAAAAAAAGTAAGAATATTGTTATTAGTATCATTATTAGGTGAGAACAAAAATGATTAGCATGCGCATAAATTATTTAAATTTTAGACAAGCATTAATAACAAAACTTTTGATATATTATGACTTTGGGGGTGTGAATGAATTGAGCTTGAGCTGCTTAGTGTGCTCAAATTTGAAATGGCTAGTATTCATGTTCGGCTCTACTCAAATCCATGTGTCTGTTCCGACTTATGATTGGCTCGGCTTGAATAATTTAAGAAAAAATAAAATTTAAAAATTGCTCGAATACGATTGAGCAAAAGTTTGTTCATATTCAACTTGTTTATAAATCGAGCTCAAAAAGATTGTTCGTGTTTGATTTGTTTGCTTAATGACCAATCAAACATAAGTTATTTCGTGAATGATGATCTTTTTTAATAGCCCTATGCCCACATTTACCCATCTTAAGAAGATATTCAATTCCAAGTATTTAAAACATAGAAATATTTTAAAAGATTTTTATATTTTAGTTTATTTAAAATTTAAGATTTCACTTTTATTGATTTTTTAACCTAATAAAATGAATTTAAAATATTAGAAAAGAAGAAAAATATGGTTGTCGAAGATGGGCCTTGCAAGCAGAAGCACATGAGATGACAATAACATCAAAGGGTAAATTAGAACCTATAGCAAATGGAAGTGGTAAGTATGGTTCGTGGTGATCAGGATGTGGTCGTGTTATGAGCAAAGGTTTGGTGCAAAAGTGATATCAAGAGATGATGAAGATGTGAGAATGAAGAAATTTTGCATGCACGACATCACAAGTTGGTGTCAAGACTTTGTGGTACATGATTTATTGAACTAAAAAGAAAGGTACAATACGATTTTGGTGTCAATACTTCTTCACATACTACATCATAGGCCAAAGCCTTGATTTCCTAATAAGGCTACATCTTCACTAGCTTTATCCTAAAATATCATGGGCTTGGGTAAATGGGTTGTTTGAGAATTCACCATGATTCATTAATTTGTTAACATGCTAAGCCATCCATGTCTAAAAGCTCCATAAGATTATCTAGCACTGGTCTTCTTGATTAGAGGGGTTTATTACATGCATAAAATAGTTAGGATGCTCACTACTATATGGGAAGCTATTGAGTTAACCATACAATAGAATTTATTGTTAGGTGATTATTTAACCAAAAAAACATACTCTTATTTCATTTCTTTCATATTTTAAATCAGAGATAAAAGTCATTAATTAATAAAATGGATTTGATCATCATTATAAGATGTACATTTTTCATGCTTTTTTTGGAGACAATTTACCAATTTTGGCTTTTTGCTTGAATGGATCAAAAAAAAATTGAATAAATTTGTGGTTATTGAGTAAAGGTTTGACTAAGCCTTTCTTTAATCACCAAAGAATACCTGTTATTTTTGTTTTATTTATAATCTAAAAATTATTTCTTAAATGATTGATCTTTCTCTAAAAGAGTCCACTTCAGCATCCTTCAAGTTGCAAAATCTTATCCAAATTATAGTTAAAAACTACTTTTTGGATATTTTATAAGGTCATATAGGCTAAGTTTTGTAATTGTGATCAATTAACCTAATAAAAGAGTAATTAAGTCAATTTTATCTATAGGTTCACTCAAGTCAATTACAGAACTGGATTTAAATTAATCTGATCAACCTGACCACTTTAATATAAATGTTGTTTTAGGTCAAATTAAAACAAATGACTCAATTAGTGAAAATAAATTTAGCTAAAGATAAATTAAGCTTTAATGAAATAATAATAACTATAAGGATTTTCAAAGATTATCTTAACATAATTTTGTCATGAGGGTCAATTTGTTTAAATTATATTTAATGGTTAAATTGGTCAACAATGGTCAAATAAACTAACTGGCCTAATTAAAAGGCAACTACGACTAAGTCATATAAGACAATTCTATTAAATTTATCTTAAGATTTAAAAGAACAAAATTGATAAACTTAATATATTTGGTTGTATAAGGTAAAGTAAGTATATATAGGTTAGGTTTGATAAAATGGTTCAAATAAGTTATAAAAAAAGTCTATTTAGTTTACTAATTCATTAAAAATCCATTAGGAAATATTAAAAGGGTTGGCCAAGATCAATTTTCCAATTTTACGATCATGCTTTAGTTGATCTAATTCAATCTATTTTCAGTCAAGCTAAGGTTTACAGGGGTCACACCAAACCTAATAGCAAATTTTCCTTAAACCATTTATGGTTTGTTAATATAAATTGTATAAAGAGATTTATCTAATTATTTGATGTATTAGGCTCAAAATTATCAAGTTAGTTTACATGTCAAGAAAATATTAAGAATAATTTTATCATAAGTCAAACAAAAGAAGGAAAACATCAAGCCAAAAGGACTCTAATGTGAAATATAATGCACATGCTTTTTATTACTCCAATAAGGCAAAGATTGAATCTTAAATCACAAAGTCAACCATGACTAGTTAAAGTCAAGTCAAGAAACTCTATACTAAGTTAAGACTATGGTAATGTTTTTAGCTAGGGTAACTTAGAAAAGAACCTAAAGATGTTCTAAGAAATATAAATTGATATTTTGATTCATGAGAACTTGAAACACCTTTAAGTAAAGCATGAATAGGTTGTCAACCTACTCAAGCTTAAATGACTTTTAAGACTAGTAGAAAAAGAAAGAGGTAGCTCTTGGTTAGGTTAAATACAACATATTTTGAAAAACTTTCTATCTAAATGTTTTGATGCTTCATTCAAAGAATAATATGCTACCTCGAGAGATAAAAATTTTTTCCTTAAAATGGACCTAATAATTCATGAGTAAGACTTCACCTGGAGGTCTTAAGTGCCTATGTCATAAGTCATGCAGAGTCTGACGATCAGCACTTCATACACTGCCTGATTGCCTGTGACGTCAAACTCCACGAGATTGACTAGTAGAGATGTTCTATGGTAGGGCTACTTAGAGTCAGGGCCAACCCCACTATTGTCTGCTTGGAGGCCCCATTAGTTTATAGGGTCCACATCTTGTCAACAGTGATGTGCCCTTCATCCTACTCCTCTATTATGAAAAAGTCTGCCATAAAGTTTGTGATCGCTTGGGCTTTAACTGTCGTCCAAGTAACGCAGGTAATGTTGAACTGATTGAGCTCTACCAATCACCTTAGTAGTTGACAGGAGTGCTCCAGCTTTGTGAGCACAAATTTCAACTAATAGTCTGTGATGACCCGGATTGGATGCATCTGGAAATACGATCAAAGCCTGCAAGCAAAAATAATCATAGAGAAAGTTATTTTTTCCATCATTGGGTACCTGGTTCCTTAAAGCATTTGGCTTGCGTTGTAGACTGATTTTTTTTTCTCGCCTCTTCTCAAACCATAACTGAGTTGACAACATCTCGTCCGACTCCAAGGACGGTGACAGCTCTTGTGCCGGCTTCGGGCTCTAGAGCAGTGGGGGTGACACAAAGAAAATTTTCAAGTTTTTGAATGCCTCCTTGCATTGGTCGTCCATTTGAAAACTGATTTTTCCTTAGAACTTTGAATAATGCTATGCACTTATCATCCAACTTTGAGATGAAACCACTGAGCTCAGTGATTCGACCGGTTAGTCTCTGAACTTCCTTTGTACTCTACGGGGCAGCATGTCTAGGATTGTCAGTACTTTCTCTAGAATTGCTTTTAATTATTTGGGAGTCAATAAAAAGCCGAGAAACTAACTAGTCAATGCCCCGAAGGTGCACTTGGAGGGTCTTAATCTCATATTGAATTTTTTTGAGAGTTTTGAAGGTTTCTTTTAGATCTTCAATGTACTGCTCAGCTGATTTACTCTTAACCAGAACATCGTTAACCCTCAACATTTTTTTTCTTTTTTATTAGAAAAACTTATATCCATGAGTCACTAATAGGTCGCTCTTGCATGACATTGCATTAAAATAAAATATGTCATGTGCAGTAATAAATGCCAATTTTTTCCTGTCGTCGGGTGCATTTTTATCTTATGGTGGACAAAGTAAGGAAACTCATAACAAAGTATTTAATCATTGCGTCAACCAAGGTGTCAATCTTTGATAAGGGGTAGGCATCCTTCGAGCAAGAAGTGTTAAGGTTGGTGAATTTTATGCACATCTATCACTTGTCGTTGTCCTTCTTGACCATTATGACGTTTGGGAGCCAAGTTGGGTACTGGACTTCACGGATGTAGCTGGCATCCAACAGCTTTTGTACCTCCGCTGCTATTGGTTCGACCAAAGTTCTGGTGATCAACCTAATTTTTTGTTGCACCGGATGAGACTAAGGGTTGATGTTCAGTCGGTGGCACGTTGCATCGATTGAAACAATAGGAATTTCTATTGCGGTTCAAGAAAACACCTCTTAGTGCTCCCAGAGTGTCCTTACCAACTGGTTCTGTAGCCCTGCATCAAAATGTTCACTGAATAGGAAGATCTTACAGGGTTCTTCATCGAAAACAGGTATCTGGAGAACGACCACATTGGTCTTGAGAGCCCCCTCCTAGGATTTGGATATCGAGTGGTTAATGGTCAACGTTCGAGACTATTCTCAAGTAGCTGCTTCTAGAGTTCCAAGTTCCCTTGGATCGTAATCACCTCCTCATATCCAAAAATTTTTATGGCCAGTTGGAGTTAGAAATCAACACCCAGTAATTGTTCAATAGTTGTCATTCGAAGTTAGTACTGTAGGTCAGTGGAGATTCCACCATGAAAAAATCCTTTGTGTTGT